TTTTTGCCTAAGATATTGATTATCATTGTCCTACGGGACGCCAGAGATAACACCTTTTACCGGTGCCCTGCTCCGAAAAATCAAAGCTGTCCACTTCATGCGTCGATAATTCCGCGACCCACAATGCATCCTTTTGCTCTTTAGATACACACGATATCAACACCATACCACTCCTGGTTACTATGAGATCAACACCATACCACTTCTGGTTACTATGATATCAACACCATAACACTCCTGGTTACTATGATATCACCACCATACCACTCCTGGTTACTATGATATCAACACCATACCACTCCTGGTTACTATGATATCACCACCATACCACTCCTGGTTACTATGATATCAACACCATAACACTCGTGGTTACTATGACTGCATCCACTTTTCCCAACGCCTTCTTCACCATCATCGTGACTTCAAAAGGGTTTCCCAAATAAACATCCTTATCCAGAAAACGTACTCCAATAAGCAACGATTCATCAGACTCATTTTCCACAACCATTTTAGCTCTTTTCGTTCACTGTTGTCCACTCATCTTTCTCACTAACTGTACTCAACGTGTTTTCAGCTTCAAACGACACTTCTGCTTCTGCCACCTCTCCAAGTTGTTCATTGTTAGCTACAGGAATATATATTTTAAAATGACCGCCTGTAGAAAACACCCTTGCAGAGTTTTCAAATTGCGTTAATTTGATTGGTCATTTTCAACCGTCACTCCCTCACTTCTGGTTTTGTTCATTTGATTGGATTATTTACCTTTCAATCACTACGCCCCTCCCTTCTATTCCCATGCGTATGATAGGCTGATGAGTTTGTGCCGATGTTTCATGAAATTATACTTCCTGTCCCATCAAAACAAACTCAGTACAAGTGCGTCGCTCCCAATGACTGTATATGGTCGCTCCAGCAGAGACAGAAGAGGAAGTGAGACACCTCACTGGCTAATTTCTTCTGGTTAATATACAAGTAGACCAGACGCAGCTGCTATCGCATTGGTGTCTATGGGAGAGCCACCCCTTAAGTAAACCGGAACTGTTTTTTTAAATGGTAATATGCCTGATTAAAACATCTTCATTTATCCACCATCTTTGGCTAGGTTGCACAGATCCCCAAGAATTTTGCACAGATCCCCAAGACTTCGCTCAATGCGTGTATCGGTAATTCTATAGAAGAAGAATAATGTATTACATTTCTATAGCGCTTCTCATAGAATCTCAAAGCGCTTCAAGAACAAACAAAAAACAAACAAGCAATATATTAAGACAGGTCAACCAACAGAGGCCTTTGAAAGCTGCATCCTTCGAAGATGGAGAGGGTCAGTTCATGGCTTGAGCGAAGGGAGAAAGACAGAGGATGGTAGGTGATGGTGATGGAGTCTGCTGATGATCTTGTAGAGTCTTATAGCCACTGGACTTCTCCTCTTCCACTCCGTTTAGCACCCACTTGGGTGATGCCTCATCAGCTCTGGGCGCCATAATGCTCACCACACAAAATTCAGAGTAGTATCCTCAGCACTGCTGTATTCATCTATCTCCCGTTCCTCTCACGCTTCCTCTCATCTCCCGTTCCTCTCACGCTTCAGGTGACTCCTCAAATGATGTTCTCAAAATAATATCTCTGCCTCACATATTATCAATTTCATTCTATTAGAAATTTTTATTAGATACGTTTTTTTTATTAGTGTAATTTGTTTTTACTTTCATGTAACCTACTTGGGATGTCACCACCATCTTTTTATCTGTTCGACAACACAGATCCAGGTCAAACTGCAACAAAATGGCTCCAGACATTTTTAATGGAAATGGGGTGAAAAAGCAGTGTGCAAAGCTGTCATCAAGGCAACGGGTGGCTATTTGAAGAATCTCAAATATAAAATATATTTTTGATTTGTTTAACACTTTCTTTGGTTACTACATGATTCCGTATGTGTTATTTCGTAGTTTTGATGTCTTCGCTATTATTCTACAATGTAGAAAATAGTAAAAATAAAGAAAAAACCCTTGTATGAGAAGGTGTTCTAAAACTTTTGACCGGTAGTGTAGTTCCTGATGGTACCAAGTACTTACATGCCATTGATCAGTGACAATAAGGATCTGACCAGTGTTGAATTCTCAGTGAGCTCAGACATTATTTGCCTGCCCCCTAAACAGCTGTTTGTCATAGCAAGTGAAGATGGGAATGATCTGTATAGTGTCTTCACATTAATGAATCCCAACAAGGATCTCACCATTGTACAGCTGACAGAACAACATGAGGTATACATCCTGGGAGAGGTTATAAGCACTGATCAAGGTAGAAGTTTTCGCTCTTCGCGACTGACAGACAGACGGGTCAACCAGATGCAGAGCTAACACCAGGCAGCATAGTAACAGTTGTTCTCTTGTGATGTGTTTGTTGGTCCGGAACATGAAAACACACACATTTCCCATGTCATGGTGCGTGTAAATTGTTTCCTGAAACATCCAAATCAAGCACCCTGTTGAGGTCCCTTACTCAGACACAGAGACAACAACTGCAATTGGACAACAGAACAAATATGGCTGAGCTTGCTTTATGCAGGGTGCATCGTCAAGCATGCACCTGTAATTAAAAGGTTATTCACACTGTATATGTCATCACTATGTTGACAGGTTCATTTCAGTCAATCATTTGGAATGACAAGGTGGCTGGCAGACGGCTGGCTTGGGTCTCTGAGCTTTTCCGTTGTCTGTTGCCAAGAGTGTGCAAAGCTGTCATCAAGGCAAAGGGTGGCTACTTTGAAGAATCTCAAATATAAAATATATTTTGATTTGTTTAACACTTTTTTGGTTAGAACATGATTGCATATGTGTTATTTCATAGTTTTGATGTCTTCACTATTATTCTACAATGTAGAAAATAGTACAAATAAAGAAGAAACCCTTGAATGAGTTGGTGTCCAAACTTTTGACTGGTAGTGTACATGTCACTAGGTCATGCTGGCACTAAGAAGACGTCCTTTACCAACAATGTCATTTGTTGCCATTGGGAAATGACTAATATTAAACACCTCATACGTTGTGTTTCACTTTGAAGACACTATCTATGAGTGGCGATGGCCCCTTTTGAACATCATGTGCTCATGTATAGTAATCTCATCTTCTTTCACAAAAGAACGCAGTTCTCCAAGTTTGCTGAAACTCTCCCGAAAGGCAGGTTTTCATTTTGAGCTCTTATGCTGCCTGTCAACCAGTCATTTATGATGCAGTTCTACCACTTTATTTAGGCTACTCAATATCTTATAGGGATATCATGCAAACATTTCATGCAAACAAACACTTCTTACACATTACATTTGTACAAATACAAAACTTTCAATCAATCATTCACTGGGCTGTCATCACTATAATGTCCATTCAGACATTAAATGTATGCCTCCCTGAGTGGCGCAGTGGTCTAAGGCACTGCATCGCGGTCTAAGGCACTGCATCGCAGTGCTGGAGGCGTCACTACAGACCTGGGTTCGATCCCAGGCTGTGTCGCAGCCGGCCACGACCGGGAGACCCATGTTGCGGCGCCCAGCGTAGTCCGGTTAGGGAAAGGTTTGGCCGGCCGGGATGTCCTTTTCCCATCGCGCTCTAGCGACTCCTTGTGGCGGGCCGGGCGCATGCACGCTGACTCGTGTCGCCAGTTGTACGGTGTTTCCTCCAACACATTGGTGCGGCTGGCTTCCGGGTTAAGCAAGCAGTGCGGCTTGGCAGGGTCGTGTTTCGGAGGACGCACGACCTTCGCCTCTCCCGAGTCCGTACGGGAGTTGTAGCTATGAGAAATCAACTACAAATTGGGGAGAAAAAGACAAGGTTGCATGCACCGTCCCAGATAGCATTCTTGTCTTCCTCCACAATCACCACTCTGAGACCTCGTGGATTTGGTCCTCTTTTCCACCACAGCCTTTAGCGGGAACATGACTGTCAGAATTGGAGGTTATTTTCCTAGCTTCTTGAAGACTAGAATTAGCTAGCTAGCTGGTAAATGAGGCTTTTCCCCAAAGCCTGTTGACAAGACCGCCAATATAGCCTCCCCGCGCACAAAGGCTCTAAATGCTTCAAGTTGCTCCTATTTTAATTCAGTCCCTAAATTGGTGTTACTATGTGGCAGTGTCATCTCTCTATCTCCTTATCAGAAAGCTCCATCACTGAGTTTTTCTCCCCACAGTTTTAGTTAGCTAGGCTAACTTTAGCTTGGCTTGTTTACCTCTCTAGTGAGGGTATAGCAGATTGACAAGGAAGCATAGGGGGGCTTTCCGCATGCAAATAGCAAGCATATGAGAACCAATCAAACAGTTGCTCAAAGTCGCTCAAAATTTTTGCTAACTCACTGTGTAGTCACGTGGGTCGCTCGTCAGCCAGGCTAACTTGGGAGTTGAAACTATGAGAAATCAAGGTGCCTAGCATTGGGAATTTGAGAACAAAGCTACTGTTTATTTTTTTTAATTGTAGCGGTAATAAACGTTTGATGATTAACATCGTTGTTTGTGTTTATTTTATAAAGTATATAATAAATGTTGTACGTTTTAGTATACGTTTTTTTATATGGAACTTTGCATTGTGCTGTGAAACTGTCTGAGGGGTTAAAATCTCATTTGTCAACCAGCCTTTTTAGCTTGGCCTTTAATCAATGACTCCTTTGGGTTTTATGTTCTTTGAGAACATTTTATTTATTTTATTGACATGCTTGTTTTTTTTTTCATTTTATTGTTTTAGGTGTGTTGCTATTTTAAATGCACTTCAAATATTGGATCTTTAATTGATGATTGCATTAATATAAACTCCATTAACTTTATAGTCTATCATTCTTATTAAGACGTTTAAAAATGTGAGAACTAGGTTATAGGCCAACTAAATAAATGTTTTAAGTAAATTGCCTGCTGAGCTGAACGGGGGTGTGATATGAGTACAATACACAAGGTGTTAGATGGCTATTATATGAGTACAATAGACAAGGTGTTAGATGGCTATTAGCATGTGTAAAGATCCATGACCTTCCAGAGCCGACCGATCAAGACCGGTCAAGCTCTGTTTTTATTCTGACTTCTCAATACTGAGCTTCTACTTCTTATCATTAAACACATTATGACTTTCATGTACACACTGGGAAACATACTATTTTTTTACGCAGTGATAGGGAATAGGGTGCCATTTGGGACGAAGCCCAAGTCTCCTGGAGACTTCGAACATTTTGTCTGGCGCATAGGGCTGTAGTTTGTTTACCAGTTATTTTTTCAAAACCAACTACAATGTACTGAATATAGGCTGCGCTGATGACTCATTGTTTTATGTGATGAAGTGCTGTGGACTTCAGAGATACATATTTTGTGTGAGTCCCAAACGGCACCCTATTCAGTGCACTACTTTTGACCAGGTCCCATAAGACTACGGTCAAAAGTAGTACACTATATATGGATTAGGATGCCATTTGGGACAAAGCCTTGATTTATCTTTAATATCCATGTGCTGTGGAAGAGGTCAAGAGGTGTTGAGTACTGAGTATGTGAGAACCACGGGATGAGCCATTGTTATTCGAGTACTGACTGAGTCCACTGAGTAGTATGTGAAAGCTGCATGTCGTGACTGCAGGAGATTGTTCTATCTAAAGAATGTGATGTTGCGTGCAGACAGACTGCAGTTGGACTGGCCTCTGGGTGGCCACCTTCTTAAGAACTCCCCTCCCTGCTGCACACGAGAGACCATGTTTAATAAATGTCGTCTAGCTGGTCTCTTGACCCTCACAGCTTAGATCAAACAGACCTGCCTGCCGTCCGACAGGGAGATCTTTAGAGCCAGTCACTGAAACAGCTCAGAAGGTCTGATAATATGATTTTCAAACTATATGCCCCCATCTGAGGTCTTATCTCTAGGCAAAGTTGTTGCTTGGCATTTTAACCATTGACGTCCTTATCGCCCCATTATTTGCTGTTTCATGTAAATGTCAAGTATTTCATGTCAATTTAAAGTATTTAAGCCCATTCAAACAGTGTGTGCTACAGTGTGTGTTAGCCTGCTGAGTATAGCCTAGGCATTAGCCCGAGGAGCTAACGCAAGTTTTCAGGTCTCAGACAAGCTTCACAGCTCCACCTCTGTTGCACTTGGGACTGCCTGTCTGCTTTCAGCTGTTGTGGTGCCAGAACTCAGTCTGCTGTCAGCTGTTGTGGTGCCAGAACTGTCTGCTGTGGGTCCAGAACTGTCTGCTGTGGGTCCAGAACTGTCTGCTGTGGGTCCAGAACTGTCTTCTGTGGTGCTAGAACTCAGGACCAAATCTTGTGTGCGCTGGTCCTCTACTCAGTCTACCTAGCACAGGCTTTCCCCGTCAGCTGTTGGGCTAAACCAACAGTCCTCTGAGAAAGGAAAGAGAAGGGGCTACTGACCAGCTCCTAGCCAGCCAGGCAGCCAGCCACCCACCCACCCAGCCAGCCAGCCAGGCAGCCAGCCAGCAAGCCAGCCAGCCAGCCAGCCAGCCAGCCAGCCAGCCAGCCACCCACCCACCCAGCCAGGCAGCCAGCCAGGCACCCAGCCACCCAGTCAGCCACCCAGCCAGCCAGCCAGCCAGCCAGGCAGCCAGGCAGGGTTACAATCAATTACACACGGAGTTGAACTCAGGCGATTTCCGGTCAGGCTTTCTAGGCAAATAGCCTTATTATCATAGAGCCTGCACAATACAGCTGATTCATCCATAAGTAGAACTATTCAGCTGTGTTTTCCTTTGGTCAACTGGGATTTAAAAAAAAAATCTGGTACAGGAGAGGCACTGCAGGCACTGGGATGTCTGTTCTGGTCTAGTTGAATGGAATTTATAGACAGCTTGGTCACACAAGTTATTCAAACCTATACTATAGCAGTAGCTCCTGAAACAGATGGTGTGGGACATGGACTCATCTTTCAAAATAATATATGACATGGACTAATTTCATTTTGGAGTTTACTTGTACACAATATTCTCAAGGCCAGTTATCACACAAACAGACCACCACATTGGCTGCAACTCATGTGATCAGCAAGGCCATCCACATGACTCAGCTTTTAATGGGTTTCAGATTTTATTGTGGTTTGTAATACAATGTTCCACTCATGCACAGAAATAGTGCCCAACAGAAATAACATACTTTCACCTTGGTCTTTTTTTATTCAATATAGTAACCATCTCTAAACCTTTCTCTTCACAGATTCTGGACAAAGCAGCGCACCCCAACTGTCTCCTTCACATCTCTGTGGATTCTACCCTCTGAACATCTCTGACCCTAGCCGTCAGACTCCTACCACCCACCGCCACCATGCTTAAGAACAGCAAGGTGACCCTGGGTATCCCTTACAGTGAGCCCGTCACTGAGTCAGTGGCGGACCTCCTGACCCTGGCCGAGCCCCTCGACTATAAGAGCAGCCGGATGAGTATGGGCCTCAGCCCCGGGGCCCAGCCAGCCATGGGCAAGGGCCTGCTGCCTTCCCCAGGGGACGAGGAAGGGAGGCCGGCCTGGAACAGCAAGCTGCAGTACATCCTGGCCCAGGTTGGGTTCTCTGTAGGCCTGGGCAACGTCTGGAGGTTCCCTTACCTGTGTCAGAAGAATGGAGGAGGTGGGTACTGGAGATTCTGGGTATTGTAGTCTCTGGTGGAGAATAATGGGGAGAACCCAGTGTATCTTTATTTGACCTAAGTGAACTGTGTTATAATGATGATGATGGTGATGATGTTGATGACAGTAAGGATGACGTTCACAATCAGGGTTCAGACATAGACAACTATAACCCTCCAGCTCCTATGGGTGATATTGGGTGACAGGACCCAATTTAGCAGGATGGAAAATATGCTTCAATCATGACTTAACGTGCTGTGGATCAGCCTCCCAGGACATCTACACAATGGAGAGCAGGTGGCAACGACAGTGTAAGAGGTTCCTGTTTCTATCATGTTAAATATTAGCCACTATCAGTATCGACCATCAGTAGGCCTAATAACCAAACTGCCAATTTACTGTTAGTTCCGTTCGGTTGGTATAGCCTACATAATCATTCCATTTAATTGCATTGTTTCTTTTACATTAATTTGCTTCCTCTGTAAACGCAGTCATGGGCGTGAGGTTGTTGCTGAAGATCATTAGTAACAGTTCATAATATCAAACTAAATGTATGGATAATTAAATCATTGTGGAGTGGGGCGCAGACCATTCCGTAACAGTTTGAACCCGACTGAAGGCGCAATACTTGGCTGTGCCATCACACAGTTCCATGGTCAGTGCAGGCAACAGACGAGGGTACAGCCTACTATTGTACACTATTCTCCCTATTATAATTCTATGTACACAACCCAACATTACCATGGGGTTGAAAAACTGAATGTGGCCATTTTATGAATGAATCAAACAATCGTTTTCTTTCTTTCATGCATAAAAGGCTCTCCAAACCAGTTTTTTATGATTCATAGCTACTTTCTTAAACCTAACTAGTCTACAAGATCAGAGTTTTTTTTTTTTTATATTCCAATTGGTGCTGAAACGGAATACGAATATGCATATATTTAGGTTTCTTTTTAATCGATCCCTACCTAATATTCTGACCCCGTTCTCTCGATATATTCTAACGAGACTGTCGACAAAATTACAACTAAAACGTACACCGTATTTAAAGGGATGCCTTGAGATAAATGTATATCCTAATACTATGGTACCCTAGTATACCCTAGTACTATAGTACCCTAGTATACCCTAGTACTATAGTACCCTAGTATACCCTAGTACTATAGTACCCTAGTATACCCTAGTACCATAGTACCCTAGTATACCCTAGTATTACCCTCCACTGGGATACTGTCCTACCCTAAACACTGCACTGTGTCAGCTCTGTGAACAGATACTGGGCTCCTGAGTGGCGCAGTGGTCTAAGGCACTGCATCGCAGTGCTAACTGTGCCACTAGAGATCCTGGTTTGAATCCAGGCTCTGTCGCAGCCGGCCGCGACCGGGAGACTCATGGGCGGCGCACAATTGTCCCAGCGTTGTCCAGGGTAGGGGAGGGAATGGCCGGCAGGGATGTAGCTCAGTTGATAGAGCATGGCGTTTGCAACGCCAGGGTTGTGGGTTCGATTCCCACGGGGGCCAGTATAAAAAAATACGTAGTCGCTCTGGATAAGAGCGTCTGCTAAATGACTAAAATGTAAATGTCATAATTGAGTGCATTAGGCATTCTGCAATAAGCTGCACGTGGCATTCAGGAAATGAGAGATACATAAAGCTTAAATGCTGCAGATGTATTTTCTCTGTAATGTGACAGTAACACTATTTGCTTGAAGGACAATGAAGCAGTCATACTATGTTACCATGCATCACCAGCCATCAAATCAAATGTTATTGGTCGCATAAACGTGTTTAGCAGATGTTACTGCGGGTGTAGCGAAATGCTTGTGCTTCTAGCTCCGTCAGTGCAGTAATATCTAACTATTTCACAACATATACCCAGTACACACAAATCTAAGTAAGGAATGAATTATGAATATATACATACATGGACGAGCGATGTCAGAGCGGCATGGACTAAGATACAGTAGAATAGTACAGAATACAGTATACACATATGAGATGAGTAATGCAAAATATGTAAACATTATTAAAGTGACTAGTGTTCCATTTCTTAAAGTGGCCAGTGATTTCTAGTCTATGTCTATAGGCAGCAGCCTCTAATATGCTAGTGATGGCTGTTTAACAGTCTGATGGCCTTGATGCACCTGTACTGACCTTGCCTTCTGGATGATAGCGGGGTGAACAGGCAGTGGCTCGGGTGGTTGATGTCCTTGATGATCTTTTTGGCCTTCCTGTGATATCGGGTGCTGTAGGTGTCCTGGAGGGCGGGTAGTTTGCCCCCGGTAATGCGTTGAGCAGAACACACCACCCTTTGGAGAGCCTTGCGGTTGCGGGCGGTGCAGTTGCCGTATCAGGTGGTGATACAGCCCGACAGGATGCTCTCAACTGTGCATCTGTAAACGTTTGTGAGGGTTTTAGGTGCCAAGCCACATTTCTTTAGCCTCCTGAGGTTGAAGAGGCTCTGTTTCGCCTTCTTCACCACACTGTCTGTGTGAGTGGTCCATTTCAGTTTGTCAGTGATGTGTACGCCAAGGAACTTGAAGCTTTCCACCTTCTCCACTGTGGTCCCGTCGATGTGGATAGGGGGGTGCACCCTCCGCTGTTTCCTGAAGTCCACGATCATCTCCTTTGTTTTGTTGACATTGAGAGAGAGGTTATTTTCCTGGCACCACACTCCCAGAGCCCTCACCTCCTCCCTGTAGGCTGTCTCGTCATTGTTGGTAATCAAGCCTACTACTGTTGTGTCTACTGCAAACTTGATGATTTAGTTGTAGGCGTGCTTGGCCACGCAGTCATGCATGAACAGGGAGTACAGGAGTGGGCTGAGCACGCACCCTTGTGGGGCCCCAGTGTTGAGGATCAGCGAAGTGGAGGTGTTGTTTCCTACCTTCACCACCTGGGGGCGGCCCGTCAGGAAGTCCAGGACCCAGTTGCACAGGGCGGGGTTCAGACCCAGGGCCTCGAGCTTAATGATGAGCTTGGAGGGTACTATGGTGTTGAATGCTGAGCTGTAGTCAATGAACAGCATTCTTACATAGGTATTCCTCTTGTCCAGATGGGATAGGGCAGTGTGCAGAGTGATGGAGATTGCATTGTTTGTGGATCTATTGGGGCGGTAAGCAAATTGAAGTGGGTCTAGGGTGGCAGGTAAAGTAGAGGTGATATGATCCTTGACTAGTCTCTCAAAGCACTTCATGATGACAGAGGTGAGTGCTACGGGGAGATAGTCGTTCAGTTCAATTGCTTTCTTGGGTACAGGAACAATGGTGGCCATCTTGAAGCATGTGGGGACAGCAGACTGGGATAGGGAGAGATTGAATATGCCCGTAAACACACCAGCCAGCTCAGGATAATGAAGTAGTCATGGAGGTCCCTCCAGTTCTCAACCATCCCTGAGGAAGTAGTCATGGAGGTCCCTCCAGTTCTCAACCATCCCTGAGGAAGTAGTCATGGAGGTCCCTCCAGTTCTCAACCATCCCTGAGGAAGTAGTCATGGAGGTCCCTCCAGTTCTCAACCATCCCTGAGGAAGTAGTCATGGAGGTCCCTCCAGTTCTCAACCATCCCTGAGGTAGTAGTCATGGAGGTCCCTCCAGTTCTCAACCATCCCTGAGGAAGTAGTCATGGAGGTCCCTCCAGTTCTCAACCATCCCTGAGGAAGTAGTCATGGAGGTCCCTCCAGTTCTCAACCATCCCTGAGGAAGTAGTCATGGAGGTCCCTCCAGTTCTCATCCATCCCTGAGGAAGTAGTCATGGAGGTCCCTCCAGTTCTCAACCATCCCTGAGGAAGTAGTCATGGAGGTCCCTCCAGTTCTCATCCATCCCTGAGGAAGTAGTCATGGAGGTCCCTCCAGTTCTCATCCATCCCTGAGGAAGTAGTCATGGAGGTCCCTCCAGTTCTCAACCATCCCTGAGGAAGTAGTCATGGAGGTCCCTCCAGTTCTCATCCATCCCTGAGGAAGTAGTCATGGAGGTCCCTCCAGTTCTCAACCATCTCTGCTAAAAGTGAAGTGTGTGCACGCATGTACTGGATACACATCACAGAGTGAGAGCGACCATCTTAGGTTTCATATCTCACTGTCTCGTTCCTCTCTGATCTTTCTCTTTATATAAATAGGCAAAATGGAACATGTATGTGTGTATCCCAGTGAAACCTGACACCATTGTAGCCTCAAGTCCAGGCTCTCTCTCTCTCTCTCTCTCTCTCTCTCTCTCTCTCTCTCTCTCTCTCTCTCTCTCTCTCTCTCTCTCTCTCTCTCTCTCTCCTCTCTCTCTCTCTCTCTCTCCCTCTCTCTCTCTCTCTCTCTCTCTCTCTCCATGGTGCCGCTACACTATGTTGACGTCACGTTGTCTTCTCTCTCAACTGGACTTGTTGTTAGTGAGTGATGATGCTCTATGTGCACAGTGGAGCTAAAAGAGGGAGAGTAGAGAGGTACAGTTTAGTGGAAGACGAAGAGAGAGAGAGAGACAGGAGGTGGTTGACTGGCTGACTGACTGACTCACTGTGGCAGGCTAATAGAGGACATGACCATCACAAAGTAGTCTGGCTTTGTTTTGGTTGGCATGAGCTTTTCCTTCCCTCCAGAAGGCTGTTTCAATATGACCTTTATTGATTGTAATTTACCCTCTCCCTCTCCTCCTTCTTTCCTCCACTTCTCCTTTCCTCCCCCCTCCCTCCCCCCACCCCCTCCTCTCTCAGGTGCGTACCTGGTCCCCTACTTCATCCTCCTCATCCTCATCGGGATCCCTCTGTTCTTTCTGGAGCTGGCGGTGGGACAGAGGATCCGGCGTGGGAGCATTGGAGTGTGGAACTATGTTTACCCTCAGCTAGGAGGCATCGGGGTCTCCAGTCTAATGGTGAGATGCACACACACACACACACACACACACACACACACACACACACAAGTTCCTTGGTGTCCTTATCACTAAGGAATTAACATGGTCCACACACACCCACACAGTTGTGAAGAGGGCACGACAGTGCCTCTTCACCATTAGGAGGCTAAAAAGATTTGGCATGGGCCCTCAGATCCTCAAAACGTTCTACAGCTGCACCGTTGAGAGCATCACCGCTTGGTACGGCAACTACAAGGCACCCGACCGCAAGGCGCTACACTGTGGCCAAGCTCCCTGCCATCCAGGTCCTCTATACCAGGCGGTGTCAAAGGAATGCCCCCAAAAATTGTCTAAGACTCCAGCCACCCAAACCATAGACTGTTCTATCTGCTACCGCACGGCAAGGAGTACCAGTGCAACAAGTCTGGAACCAACAGGACCCTGAACAGCTTCTACCCCAAGCCATGAGACTACTAAACAAGACTGCTAAATAGCTAATCAAATGGCTACCAGCTGCTGCTACTGTTAATTATCTATCCTGTTTTCTAATCACTTTATATCTGTACATAGCTACGTCAGTTACCTCGTACCCCTGCACATGGACTCGGTACTGGTACTCCCTTTATATAGCCATGTTATTACCTCTTACCCCTGCACATCGACTTGTTACTGGTACTCCCTGTATATAACCATGTTATTACCTGGTACTCCCTGTATATAGCCATGTTATTACCTGGTACGTCCTGTATATAGACATGTTATTACCTGGTACTCCCTGTATATAGCCATGTTATTACCTGGTACTTCCTAAAATATAGCCATGTTATTACCTGGTACTTCCTGTATATAGCCATGTTATTACCTGGTACTTCCTGTATATAGCCATGTTATTACCTGGTACTTCCTGTATATAGCCATGTTATTACCTGGTACTTCCTGTATATAACCATGTTATTACCTGGTACTTCCTGTATATAATCATGTTATTACCTGGTACTCCCCGTATATAGCCATGTTATTACCTGGTACTTCCTGTATATAGCCATGTTATTACCTGGTACTTCCTGTATATAGCCATGTTATTACCTGGTACTTCCTGTATATAGCCATGTTATTACCTGGCACTTCCTGTATATAGCCATGTTATTACCTTGTACTTCCTGTATATAGCCATGTTATTACCTGGTACTTCCTGTATATGTTATTTTTACTTGTCATTGTTATTCATTATTCACTCTATTTCTTCCTTGTGTTACTATTTCTATTTCTTATGATTTTATTATCTTCAACTCTGTATTGTTGAAAAAAGGACCCGTAAGTAAGCGTTTCACTGTTATTCTACACCTATTGTTTACGAAGCATGTGACAAATAAATTTAGATTTGACTAGATTTTTATCGGGTTGTCCAGTCGTATGGTGAGACCTAATGTGCCTTGTCACATACATATAGCAGCTATCCTTGCTCTCAGAGTTCTAGGTTCCAGATTATGCTATCTGGCAATGCAAGAATAGAATAGTTTATTGTCCTCCGACAAGCAGCCAAGCCTGTCCCAAATATACACCATTCACCAGGAAATGAAAAAGCAGTTTTGATCTCATTGTCTCAGTATACCTGACAGACGTGGTCTGATGAGACATTTTGCTCATCTTTCCTCAGAAGACCTTCCCAAATTAGCAGCTTCCCTCAGAAGACCTTCCCACATTCGCAGCTTCCCTCAGAAGACCTTCCCACATTAGCAGCTTCCCTCAGAAGATCTTCCGACATTAACCGCTTCCCTCAGAAGTGTCACGACTTCCGCCGAGGCTGCCTCCCCTCCTTGTTCGGGCAGGTTTCGGTGTTTGTTGTCACCGGCTCACTAGCTACTGCCGATCCCATTCTCATCACTCCACTTGTCATGTCTTGTCTTGTCAATCACACACACCTGGTGATCATTCCCCTAATTAGTAAGTGTTACCTCTGTTCCCCTTGTCTTTGTGAGTGATTGTTTCATTGTGAGAGCGAGGAGCTCGGTTGAGCTACTCTTCCATTTGTTATTGCCAAGGTGGAATATTTCCCTTGTGATAGTTTCGTATTGACGCTGGGTGCGTTTTATTTATGTAAACGGAATAAACTCTGGACTTCTGTGTTTTACCTTATGCGCCTGACTCCTTCATTCACACCTCATTGCAGAATCACTCACCCGCTGAATGGAGTCAGCAGGAGAAGACCGCATGCCTGGAGTTGTGGCAAGGGTCCAGGAGCATTCCTCGATGTTGGCCAGCTTGGGGGAAGCGATGGATCGGGTTCTTCAGGTAGTACAACGCCTGGAGAGGAGAGGACCTGATCTATCGAGACCAGCTGGTTAACCGGATCCAGCCACCTACATCCCAGCCCCTGGAGGGATCCAGATATCCCGGCCACCGGCGTTTGATGGGACGGCAGTGCGTTGTAAGGGATTTCTGCTCCAACTAGAGTTGTATTTCTCCAGCATCAGGCCGGCGCCACTGGAGCGGGGAAGGTATCCGTCCTCGTTTCCTGCCTTTGTGGGAGAGCCCTGGAGTGGGCCAACGCGGTGTGAACGATGGAGGTGCCGTGTTGGAGGACTACGGGGAGTTTGCTCGCCTCTTTCGGGCCGTTTTCAATCACCCACCTGAGGGTCGGGCGAACGACTGGTCCATCTGAGGCAGGGGACGAGGACCGCACAGGACTACGCATTGGAGTTCCGGACGCTGGTAGCGGGGTCCGAGTGGAACGAGCGGGCCCTGATCGACCATTTCCATCACCTAAGGGAGGACGTCAGACGGGAGCTAGCCTGCTGTGATGCCATGCTATCGTTCTCCCAACAGGTGGACATGGCCATCCGGCTGGACAATCTGCTAGCAGCCAGAGGACGTCCTGGTAGGGGTCTGCCCGTTCCCTCTCCGGACGACTCTGATCCCGAGCAGATGGAGCTGGGGGGAGCCGCCAGTCGAGAGAGGGCAGGAGGACAGCGACAGTGCCACTCTGGTGGCACGAAGGGACAATCCAGGTGTCTAGGTGTTTCTGTTGGTGCGACCATGGTGGGAAGTCCAGACGGTACCCCCACTTCACCTGCTTCCTCAAGTTTCTTCTTTGTGAAGAAGAAAGATGGCGGTTTACGCCCGTGCATTGATTATCGACCACTGAATAAGGTGACTGTACGATTTAGTTATCCTCTTCCCCTCATTTCTTCAGTGACTGAGTCAATGCCTGGAGCCCGTTTTTTCACCAAATCAGACCTCAGGAGTGCCTACAATCTGGTGCGTATTCGGGAAGGGGATGAGTGGAAAACCACATTCAGCACAACCTTGGGGCATTATGAATACCTGGCGATGCCCTACGGTTTGATGAATGCTCCATCCGTTTTCCAGTCCTTTGTGAATGAGGTGTTTCGAGACATGCTTGGTCGCGGTGTGGTGGTCTACATCGATGACATCCTGGTGTATTCCGCTACGCGCGCTGAACATGTGTCCCTGGTTCGCAAGGTACTGGTCCGGCTGCTGGCGAATGATCTTTATGCCAAGGCAGAGAAGTGTGAATTTTTCCACCAGTCAATCTCCTTCCTCGGATACCGCATTACTACCACAGGTGTGGAGATGGGGGGAGATCGCATTTCAGCCATGCGTAATTGGCCGACTCCAACCACGGTGAAGGAGGTGCAGCGCTTCCTTGGCTTTGCCAAGTACTATCTGAGGTTTATTCAGGTTTTTGGCAAGGTCGCAGCTCCCATTACCTCCTTGTTGAAAGGTGGGCCGTACCAGCTCCGCTGGTCTGCTGAGGCCGATTTGGCCTTCAGTAGATTGCGGGGTCTGTTCACCTCAGCCCCGGTACTGGCTCACCCCGATTCATCACTACCGTTCGTAGTGGAGGTGGATGCGTCCGAGGTAGGGATAGGCACTGTCTTATCCCAACGCTCGGGCACGCCACCCAAGCTCCGCCCCTGTGCCTTCTTTTCGAAGAAGCTCAGCTCGGCGGAGCAGAACTACGGCGTTGGTGATCGGGGGCTGCTGGCTGTTGTCCGAGCTTTGACGGTGTGGAGGCATTGGCTCGAAGGGGCGAAACACCCTTTCCTCGTCTGGACAGACCACCGTAACATGGAGTACATTCGGGCAGCGAGGAGGCTGAATCCTCGCCAGGCCAGGTGGGCCCTCTTCTTCACCCGGTTTGATTTCACACTCTCATACATTCCGGGTACGAAGAACGTGAAGGCAGACGCACTGTCTCGGCTGTATGACACAGAGGAGAGGCCCAGTGACAACACCCCCATACTCCCGGCCTCATGCATTGTGGCGCCGGTAGTATGGGCGATGGACGCGGATATAACGCAGGCATTACGCACAGATCCATCTCCACCGCAGTGTCCATCTGGGCTGCAGTACGTGCCTGCGCTTATCCGTGATCGTCTGATCTACTGGGCACACACGACACCCTCCTCTGGTCATCCAGGTATCGGTCGTACAATGCGCTGCCTGACCGAGAAGTACTGGTGGCCTACCTTGGCTAAGGACGTGAGGGTGTATGTTTCCTCATGCTCAGTGTGCGCCCAGAGTAAGGCACCTAGGCACCTCCCAGCGGGTAAGCTACAACCTTTACCAGTTCCACAACGACCATGGTCTCACCTTAGTATTGATTTTCATACTGATCTTCCCCTCTCCCGAGGTAACACCACTATCCTGGTCGTTGTGGATCGCTTTTAGAAGTCCTGCCGCCTCCTTCCTCTGCCCGGTCTCCCCACGGCCCTACAAACTGCGGAGGCTCTGTTTACTCATGTCTTCCGGAATTACGGGGTACCAGAGGATATAGTGTCCGACCGAGGTCCCCAGTTCACGTCTAGAGTCTGGAAGGCGTTCATGGAACGTCTGGGGTCTCGGTCAGCCTGACCTCTGGATTTCACCCCGAGAGTAATGGGCAGGTGGAAAGGGTGAATCAAGATGTGGGTAGGTTCCTGCGGACCTACTGTCAGGACTGGCCGGGGGAGTGGTCGGTGTTCCTGCCATGGGCAGAATACGCTCAGAACTCTCTCCGCCACTCCTCCACTAACCTAACACCCTTCCAATGTGTTTTGGGTTACCAACCGGTCCTGGCACCGTGGCACCGTGGCACCAGAGCCAGACCGAGGCTCCTGCGGTGGATGACTGGTTTCGGCGCGCGGAGGAGACTTGGGATGCTGCACACGTTCGCCTCCAGTGCGCCGTGCATCGTCAGAAGGCAAACGCTGACCGCCACCGCAGGGAGGCCCCGGTTTTCGTACCGGGGGATTGGGTCTGGCTCTCGACCCGGAATCTGCCCCTCCGCCTGCCCTGCCGGAAGCTGAGCCCGCGGTTTGTGGGACCGTTTAAAGTCCTGAGGAGGATAAACGAGGTTACATACAGGTTGTTACTCCCCCTGATTACCTTATTAACCCCTCGTTTCATGTGTCTCTCCTCAGGCCAGTGGTAGCTGGTCCGCTCCAGGAGTCTGAGGTGCGGGAGGTTCCTCCACCTCCTCTGGACATCGAGGGGGCCCCGGCGTACTCGGTCTGTTCCATACTGGATTCAAGGCGTCGGGTGGGGGGCCTTCAGTATCTCGTGGAGTGGGAGGGGTATGGTCCGGAGGAACGGTGCTGGGTCCCAAGGAGGGACATCCTCGATCCCTCCCTGTTGAGGGATTTCCACCGTCGCCATCCGACTCGCCCTGCTCCGCGTCCTCCTGGCCGTCCCCTAGGCCGTGATCGGCGCACTGCTGGAGCTGCGCGTCAAGGGGGGGGTACTGTCACGACTTCCGCCGAGGCTGCCTCCCCTCCTTGTTCGGACAGGTTTCGGTGTTTGTCGTCACCGGCTTACTAGCTACTGCCGATCCCATTCTCATCACTCCACTTGTCATGTCTTGTCTTGTCTATCACACACACCTGGTGCTCATTACACCAATTAGTATGTGTATAAGTGTTCCCTCTGTTCCCCTTGTCTTTGTGAGTGATTGTTTCATTGTGAGAGCGAGTAGCTCGGTTGAGCTACTCTTCCATTTGTTATTGCCAAGGTGGAATATTTCCCTTGTGATAGTTTCGTATTGACGCTGGGTGCGTTTTATTTATGTAAACGGAATAAACTCTGGACTTCGGTGTTTTACCTTATGCGCCTGAGTCCTTCATTCACACCTCATCACAAGAAGGCCTTCCAACATTAGCGGATTCCCTCTGAAGGTCTTCCCACATTAGCGGCTTCCCTCAGAAGGCCTTCCGACATTAGCGGATTCCCTCTGAAGGTCTTCCCACATTAGCGGCTTCCCTCTGAAGGCCTTCCCACATTAGTGGCTTCCCTCAGAAGGCCTTCCAACATTAGCGGATTCCCTCAGAAGGCCTTCCCACATTAGCAGCTTCCCTCAGAAGGCCTTCCGACATTAGCAGCTTCCCTCAGAAGTCCTTCCCACGTTAGTGTCTCTAGAAGGTTCAAATCAGACATGCAGACATCAGCACTACCAGTCCCTTTCATCTGTCAAATGTCACAACCCTCCATCCTCACTCCTCTCAGGCAGAACAGAGTCCCACTGCCTCCTGTGCAGGAGCAGTAGTGGAAAGGAGCAGTATGGATGTTGCTAACTGACGGACAAAAAGGCTAGCCTAGAGTGAGTGACAGTTGACTTTAGATCTCAGGGCTTGTGACATCACCAGGCTCATGTCTGCATTTGCTACATCTACAGCCAGCCAGCCAGCCAGTCAGTCAGTCAGTGAGTCAGACAGACAGCCAGTCAGTCAGACAGTCAGACAACCAGTCAGCCAGTCTGTCAGAAAGACAGACAGACAGTCAGTCAGCCAGTCAGTCAGCCAGTGAGTCAGCCAATCAGTCAGTCAGCCAGTCAGTCAGTGTGTCAGTCAGTCAGCCAGTCAGCCAGTTATTCAGTCAACCAGTCAGCCAGTCAGTCAGCCAGTCAGCCAGTCAGCCATACAGTCAGCCAGTCAGCCAGTCAGTCAGAAAGTCAGACAGTCAGCCAGTCAGTCAGCCAGCCAGTCAGTCAGCCAGTCAGTGAGTCAGCCAGTCAGTGAGTCAGCCAGTCAGTCAGTCAGCCAGTCAGTCAGTCAGTCAGTCAGTTAGTCAACCAGTCAGTCAGTCAGTCAGTGAGTAGTCAGTCAGCCAGTCAGCCAGTCAGTCTGTGAGTCAGCCAGTCAGTCAGCCAGTCAGCCAGTCAGCCAGTCAGCCAGTCAGCCAGTCAGTCAGTAAATCAGCCAGTCAGTCAGTTAGTCAGCCAGTCAGCCAGTCAGTCAGTAAATCAGCCGGTCAGTCAGTCAGTCAACCAGTCTGTCAGCCAGCCAGCCAGCCAGTCAGTCTATCAGCCAGTCAGCCAGTCAGCCAGTCAGGTGTGGCAGGCTGGCTGGATGGCTCTGTATCAATAGCCACTACAGTAGCTACTAGCTAGCATAACAATTAAGCATTTTATTGGGCATACATCTTAGAATGAAGCATCGTATTGGGCATACATCTTAGAATGAAGCATCGTATTGGGCATACATCTTAGAATGAAGCATCGTATTGGGCATACATCTTAGAATGAAGCATTCTATTGGGCATACATCTTAGAATGAAGCATTCTATTGGGCATACATCTTAGAATGAAGCATCGTATTGGGCATACATCTTAGAATGAAGCATCGTATTGGGCATACATCTTAGAATGAAGCATCGTATTGGGCATACATCTTAGAATGAAGCATCGTATTGGGCATACATCTTAGAATGAAGCATCGTATTGGGCATACATCTTAGAATGAAGCATTCTATTGGGCATACATCTTAGAATGAAGCATCGTATTGGGCATACATCTTAGAATGAAGCATTGTATTGGGCATACATCTTAGAATGAAGCATCGTATTGGGCATACATCTTAGAATGAAGCATCGTATTGGGCATACATTCTAAGTAGTATGCTGTACTGTGGATATTGGATGTTGCAGTCAGTGCAGAAGGCCTTATAGCACTATGCAGCCCTGAGGGCTGAGGCAGGCTGGATGTGGCACCAGGAGCTCAGCTCTGCCCAGAAGCTATAAATACGACCACAGAGGACTAGCTAGAACACTTCTGGAAGAACGCACTTCAATTATTCATAGACACTTCAGCTGTGGGCTGCATTAGTGTCTGAGCAGAGAACACAGAGAAGTGGTCCTGTACATATAGGCTACAGAATGTGAATTGAGTTGCCTGTTTAGCTTTGTGTGTTGTGTGTTGGCTAGGAAAGCCATATGTTTGTGTAACCAGCTAGACTATGCCACCCTTTGGTTGACGGAAGCTCTGAAATGCTATGGGTTTCCCAAACATAGACATATCAAATGAACAAAATAAATACACCAGAATACAAAAATAGATGTTTGTAGGTTGAGCAATGACAAAGGTTTCTGACAAAGACCTAAGGATTGTTCTACCTCTCTCTGTCTCCTCTCTGTCTCCTCTCTGTCTCCTCTCTGTCTCCTCTCTGTGTCCTCTCTGTCTCCTCTCTGTCTCCTCTCTGTCTCCCTCTGTCTCCTCTCTGTCTCCTCTCTGTCTCCTCTCTGTCTCCCTCTGTCTCCTCTCTGTCTCCTCTCTGTCTCCTCTCTGTCTCCTCTCTGTCTCCTCTTTGTCTCCTCTTTGTCTCCCTCTGTCTCCTCTCTGTCTCCTCTCTGTGTCCTCTCTGACTCCTCTCTGTCTCCTCTCTGTCTCCTCTCTGTCTCTCCTTTAGGTGTGTGGCTTCGTGGGCCTTTAGTACAAGCCAGTGACAGCTCTACCTCTCTCTGTCTCCTCTCTGTCTGTCTCTCTAGGTGTGTGGTTTCGTGGGCCTGTACTACAACGTGATCATCGGCTGGAGTATCTTCTACTTCTTCCAGTCATTCCAGTACCCACTGCCCTGGGCAGAGTGCCCCATCAGGGTGGTCAACGGGAGCCAAGCCAGTGAGTACAAAACACAAATACTCTCAGAACGTACAGACAGCTAATACTAACATGCTAACGTAATGCTAATGTGAGGTGAGTGGATGAGCAAAAGGCTAACATGAGGTTCCCTGCCTCCTGCCTCTTGACTGGCTGTGTGCTGCAGCTGCCTGCCGTCACTCTTTGACAGCTGCTGAATACACACAGAGACTGGGTCATACGTTCTGACATGATGATGCATCAGAGCTGCTCTCTCAGATCAGTTAAGGACTATCCCACACAGTTCAGCTCAGCTCAGCAGATATATGGCAGATAGACAGACAGATAGATAGACAGACAGATAGACAGCAAATAGACAGACAGACAGACAGATAGACAGCAATCTTAGACTTCACTCTATTTCACAGCTATTTCTATTTCTCACTTCACATTTCTCAAACCTTCTCCTCCCCCTCTCCCCTCCCCTCTCTCCTCTCTCCCTCCCCCTCTCTCCTCTCTCCTCCCCCCCCCTCCTCTCGCTCCTCCCCTCTCCCCCTCTCCTCCCCCTCTCTCCTCCCCCTCTCGTCTCACCCCTCCCTCCCCCTTTCCCCTCTCACCTCCCCCTTCTCCCTCTCCTCCCCCTTTCCCCTCTCCTCCCCTTCTCTCTCCTCCCCTCTCCCCTCCTCCTCCCTTCTCTCTGCTCCCCTCCCCCTCTCCTCCCCTTCTCCTCCTCCCCCTCCCCTCTCTCCTCCCCTTCTCTCCTCACCTCCACCCCTCGCCCCCCTCTCCCCTCCTTCTCTCCCCCTCTCTCTCCCTCTCCTCCCCCCCTCCCCCTCTCTCCTCCCCTTCTCTCTCCTCCCCCTCTCCCCTCTCCCCCTCTCTCCCTCCCTCCCCCTTCCTCCTCTCCTCCCCTCTCCCCTCCCTCTCCCCTCTCTCCCTCCCCCTCTCCGCTCTCCTCCCCTCCCTCTCCCCCTCCTCCTTCCTCCCCTCTCCCCTTCTCCCTCTCCTCCTCCCTCTCCCCCTCTCTTCCCCACTCTCCTCCCTCCGCCCCTATCTCCCCCTCTCCTCCTCCCCTTCTCTCTCCTCCCCATCTCCCCTCTCTCCTCCCCATCTCTCTCTCCCCCCCTCTCCCCTCTCTCCTCCCCCTCTCCTCCTCTCTCCTCCCCCTCTCCTCCTCTAGTAATCGAACCGGAGTGTGAAAAGTCTTCTGCCACTACCTACTTCTGGTACAGGCAGACCCTGAACATCACCAGCACCATCGAGGACAGCGGAGGCCTGAACTGGAGGATGACCCTGTCCCTGTTCGCCGCCTGGCTCATCGTCTGTCTGGCAGTGATCAAGGGCATCCAGTCATCTGGGAAGGTAACAGGCAGGGACGTATATATACATACAGTACATATGGGCTCCCGAGTGGCGCAGCGGTCTAAGGCACTGCATCTCAGTGCTTGAGGCGTCATTACAGACCCCCTGGTTCGATTCCAGGCTGTATCACAACCGGCCGTGATTGGGAGTCCCATAGGGCGGCGCACAATTGGTCCAGCGTAGTCCGGGTTTGGCCGGTGTAGGCCGTCATTGTAAATAAGAATTTGTTCTTAACTGACTTGCCTAGTTAAATAAAGGTTAAACAAATGTACAGTGCCTTCGGAAAGTATTCAGACCCCTTGACCTTTTCCACATTGTTACGTTACAGCGTTATTCTAAAATTGATTAAATAAATAAAAATCCTCAACAATCTACACACAATACCCCATAATGACAAAGAGAAAACATGTTTTTAGAAAAATTTGAAATACCTTATTTGCATAAGTATTCAGACCCTTTGCTATAAGACTCGAAATTGAGCTCAGGTGCATCCTGTTTCCATTGATCATACTTGAGATGTTTCTACAACTTGATTGGAGTCCACCTGTGGTAAATTCAGTTGATTGGACATGATTTGGAAAGGCACACACCTGTCTATGTAAGGTCCCACGGTTCAAAAGCCATGAGGTCGAAGGAATTGTCCTTAGAGCTCCGAGACAGGATTGTGTCGAGGCACAGATCTGGGGAAGGGTAACAAAACATTTCTGCAGCATTGAAGGTCCCCAGGAACACAATGGCCTCCATCAGTTTGGAACCACAAAGACTCTTCCTAGAGCTGGCCGCCTTCCTGAGCAATCTGGGGAGAAGGGCCTTGGTCAGGGAGGTGACCAAGAACTCAATGGTCACTCTGACAGAGCTCTAGAGTTCCTCTGTGGAGATGGGAGAACCTTCCAAAAGGACAACCATCTCTGCAGCACTCCACCAATCAGGCCTTTATGGTAGAGTGGCCAGATGGAAGCCACCCCTCAGTAAAAGGCACATGACAGCCACTTGGAGTTTGCCAAAAAAGCCACCTAAAAGCTCTCAGACAACTCTCCCGAGTGGCGCAGTGGCCTAAGGCACTGCATCGCAGTGCTAGCTGTGCCACTAGAGATCCTGGTTCGAATCCAGGCTCTGTCGTAGCCGGCCGCGACCGGGAGACCCATTGGGCGGCGCATAATTGGCCCTGCGTCGTCCAGGGTAGGGGAGGGAATGGCCGGCAGGGATGTAGCTCAGTTGGTAGAGCATGGCGTTTGCAACGCCAGGGTTGTGGGTTCAATTCCCACGGGGGGCCAGTATGAAAAATAAAATAATGTATGCACTCACTAACTGTAAGTCGCTCTGGATAAGAGCGTCTGCTAAATGACTAAAATATAAATGTAAACAAGATTCTCTAGTCTGATGATTGAACTCTTTGGCCTGAATGCCAAGCGTCACATCTGAAGGAAACCTGGCACCATCCCTACGGTGTAGCATGGTGGTGGCAGCATCATGCTGTGGGGATTTTTTTCAGCGGCAGGGACTGGGAGACTAGTCAGGATTGAGGCAAAGATGAACGGAGGAAAGTACAGAGAGATCCTTGATGAAAACCTGCTCCAGAGCGCTTAGGACCTCAGACTGGGGCAAAGGTTCACCTTCCCACAGGACAATGACCCTAAGCACACAGCCAAGACAACGCAGCAGTGGCTTCGGGACAAGTCTCTGAATGTCCTTGAGTGGCCCATCCAGAGCCCGGACCTGAACCCGTTTCGAACATCTCTGGAGAGACCTGAAAATAGCTGTGCAGCAACACTCCCCATCCAACCTGACAGAGCTTGAGCGGATCTGCAGAGAAGAATGGGAGAAACTTCCCAAATACAGGTGTGCCAAGCTTGTAGCGTCATACTCAAGGCTGTAATCGCTGCCAAAGGTGCTTCAACAAAGTACTGAGTAAAGGGTCTGAATACTTATGTAAATGTAATATTTCGGTTTTGATTTTTAATACATTTGCAAACATTTTTAAAAACCTGTTTTTGCTTTGTCATTATGGGGTATTGTGTGTAGATTGATGAGGTAACCTAACAAAATGTGGAAAAAGTCACGGGGTCTGAATACTTTCCGAAGGCACTGCATATATACACTATCTGAAGGTATATATGGCTCTGGAAAGGTGCAGGGGCATTGTCTTCCAACAGCCCCTGTATGTTGTTGTAACGTGATTATGTGGTAAGACAGTGGGGGAGGGGTTACTTGAGAAAGAAACACTGGTATTGTTGAAATTGTTCTTGAAGGCGGCTCAAGAGATCCATTCAGTTGTTTGTGGAGTGTTATAGAATACTTGTGTGCTGGAGTTTCTACTGTTTCAAATCCAGACATTTCCCTATAGACTTTCTATAACTACCACACTGTATGAATATATGTCCTCTCATCTGTGTACGTATATTGATTTTCATGAAGAGTTTTATACTGGCTGAATTGTGACATAACTTATGATGAGAAAGGCTAAAGTGCTAAAGCATATCACGATTCAATACTATTTTTGTATTTTCTTATGTTATGGGGAAAGAAGCATGCAAAATTGATGAGGTTAGTCTTAAGAGGCCACTAGGCTCAGTGTGGTTAGATAATACACTATATATACAAAAGTATGTGGACACCCCTTCAAATTAGTGGATTTGGCTATTTCATGCCAGACCCGTTGCTGACAGGTGTATAGAATCGAGCACACAACCATGCAATCTCCATAGACAAACATTGGCAGTACAATGGCCCTCACTGAGGAGCTCAGTGACTTTCAACGTGGCACCGTCATTAGGATGCCACCTTTCCAACAAGTCAGTTCGTCAAATTTCTGCCCTGCTAGAGCTGCCCCGGTCAACTGTAAGTGCTGTTATTGTGAAGTGGAAACGTCTAGGAGCAACAACGCCTCAGCCGTGAAGTGGGTAGGCCACACAAGCTCACAGAACGGGACCGCCGAGTGCTGTCCTCGGTTGCAACACACACTACAGAGTTCCAAACTACGTCTGGAAGCAACGTCAGCACAAGAACTGTTAGTCGGGAGCTTCATGAAATGGGTTTCCATGGCCGAGCAGCCGCACACAAGCCTAAGATCACCATGCGCAATGCCGCGTCGGCTGGAGTGGTGTAAAGCTCGCTGCCATTGGACTCTGGAGCAGTGGAAACGCGTTCTCTGGAGTGATGAATCACGCTTCACAATCTGGCAGTCCGACAGAGGAATCTGGGTTTAGCGGATGCCAGGAGAACGCTATCTGTCCCAATGCATAGTGCCAACTGTAAAGTTCGGTGGAGAAGGAATAATGGTCTGGGGCTGTTTTTCATGGTTCCGGCTAGGCCCCTTAGTTCCAGTGAAGGGAAATCTTAACGTTACAGCATACAATGACATTCTAAACTATTCTGTGCTTCCAACTTTGTGGAAACAGTTTGGGGAAGGCCTTTCCAGTTTCAGAATGTCAATGCCCCTGTGCACAAAGCGAGGTCCGTACAGAAATAGTTTGTTGAGATTGGTGTGGAAGAACTTTACTGGCCTGCACAGAGCCCTGACCTCAACCCCATCAAAACACCTTTGGGATGAATTGGAACGCAGATTGCGAGCCAGGCTTAATCGCCCAACATCAGTGCCCGACCTCACAAATACTCGTGGCTGAATGGAAGCAAGTCCCCGCAGCAATGTTCCAACATCTAGTGGAAAGCCTTCCCAGAAGAGTGGAGGCTGTTATAGCAGCAAAGGGGGGACCAACTCCATATTAATGCCCATGATTTTGGAATTAGATGTTCGACGAGCAGGTGTCCACATACTTTTAGTAATGTAGTGCATGTTGGCTGGCTCACAACTCTGCATCCCAAATGGCACCCTATTCCCTATATAGTGCACTATATTCAGAATAACAATGTGCTTTCATCTCAGTCCAAACAATGAGTCATGATCACAACACAACATCCAACCCACATTGTGGAATAGGGAAATTCATAAGAGACATTGCCAAGATCTGACACACTCTGTCTGCGTTCCAAATGGCACCCTATTCCCTACTTTTTTTTCCAGTGGCCCTGGTCAAAAGCAGTGCACTATACAGGGAATATGTTGACATTTTGAAAGCACTCTTTAAAACATGGGACTCTGTAATAATCCCATTATGGTAGCAAGGCCGAAGACATTCACAGAAATGCTTGAGGAAGAGAATCTCTCTCTCTCTCTCTCTCTCTCTCTCTCTCTCTCTCTCTCTCTCTCTCTCTCTCTCTCTCTCTCTCTCTCTCTCTCTATCTCTCTCTCTCTCTCTCTCTCTCTCTCTCTCTCTCTCTCTCTCTCTCTCTCTCTCTCTCTCAAAACCTCAAGGATTCCTCTCTACATCAGGGAACACTACACAGATCTACACAACCACAACAAGTACATACTGTGGGCTCTGTGTGTGTGTATATACAGTGTGTGCGTGAATATACAGTGTGTGCATGTATGCCCATGTCTGTCTTAGCGTCTTCTACACTGTGAGACTACGGCAGTGTGGTAGTGTCCATGGTAACAGCTTGATGTGTGTGTCGTCCTCTGTCTGTCGCCCCCCTCAGGTCATATTCTTCATGATAACAGTTTGTGTGTGTTTGTGTGTGTGTGTGCGCGCCTGCGTGCACGTGTGTGTGTGTGTGCATTTGTGCATGTGTGTCTGTGTGTGTGTGTGTTTTCTCTCCCCTCAGGTGATGTACTTCAGCTCTCTCTTCCCCTACGTGGTGTTGATCTGTTTCCTCGTCAGAGGCCTGATGCTCAAAGGATCTGTTGACGGCATCGCTCACATGTTCACCCCAAAGGTACACACACACACACACACACTCCAAACGGTACACACATACACACACACTCCAAAAGGTACGCACCACACCATCCTTCATCTGTGGTTCTGAGAATTACAGCCCCAAAGGTTCATATATTCATTGTAAAAGATAACACACACGCTAACCTCAGTCTGACACGCTAACCTCAGTCTGGCACGCTAACCTCAGTCTGGCACGCTAACCTCAGTCTGACACGCTAACCTCAGTCTGACACGCTAACCTCAGTCTGACACGCTAACCTCAGTCTGACACGCTAACCTCAGTCTGACACGCTAACCTCAGTCTGATACGCTAACATCAGTCTGGCACGCTAACCTCAGTCTACACGCTAACCTCAGTCTGACACGCTAACCTCAGTCTGCATCGGTCTGACACGCTAACCTCGGTCTGACACGTTAACCTCAGTCTGACACGCTAACCTCGGTCTGACACGCTAACCTCGGTCTGACACGCTAACCTCAGTCTGACACGCTAACCTCAGTCTGACACGCTAACCTCAGTCTGCACGCTAACCTGTCTGCACGGAAACGTCAGTCTGCACGCTAACCTCAGTCTGCACGCTAACCTCAGTCTGCACGCTAACCTCAGTCTGACACGCTAACCTCAGTCTGCATGCTAAACACAGCCTGCATGCTAACCTCGGTCTGACACGCTAACCTCGGTCTGACACGCTAACCTCGGTCTGACACGTTAACCGCAGTCTGACACGCTAACCTCAGTGTGACACGCTAACCTCAGTCTGACACGCTAACCTCAGTCTGATACGCTAACCTCAGTCTGACACGCTAACCTCAGTCTGCACGCTAACATCAGTGTGACATGCTAACCTCAGTCTGACACGCTAACCTCAGTCTGACACGCTAACCTCAGTCTGACACGCTAACCTCAGTCTGGCACGCTAACCTCGGTCTGACACGCTAACCTCAGTCTGGCACGCTAACCTCGGTCTGACACGCTAACCTCAGTCTGACACGCTAACCTCAGTCTGACACGCTAACCTCAGTCTGCACGCTAACCTCAGTCTGACACGCTAACCTCAGTCTGCATGCTAATCTCAGTCTGCACGCTAACCTCAGTCTGACACGTTAACCTCAGTCTGACATGCTAACCTCCTGAGTGGCGCAGTGGTCTAAGGCACTGCATCGCAGTGCTAACATGTGCCACTAGATCCTGGTTCGATCGCACCTCTGTCGCAGCCGGCCGCGACCGGGAGAACCTCATGGCGGCGCACAATGGCCCAGCGTGCTAACTCCAGGGTAGGGTAGGCAATAGCCGGGAGGACTGTAGCCATTGATTAGAGCATGCATTTGCCACGCCAGGGGTTGTGGGTTCGATTCCCACGGGGGGCCAGTATAAAAATTAAATAAAAATGTATTCACCAACTGTAAGTCGCTCTGGATATGAGCGTCTGCTAAATGACTAAAATGTAAAATGTAACGTCAGTCTGCACGTTGTGTACCCAAAGGTACGACACAGCCATCCAACGTCCAACACTATCTCTGACTCCATCTCAAACACAGGGCTTTGGCTCTCATCACACACTCAGACTAGAGAGCATTGTTACAGAGCTCACATCCTGAGAGGAGAGAAATGTTTCCTGATATGGCAGTGTCTGTTTGTCTGTCTGAACTGGATTCTATGTAGGGGATAGGAAACTCTAGTCGCAGTGCAGTGTTTGTCCTGCAGTATTTTCTCCTCATCCTTGATTTATAATGTGGATTAGGGGATATGCTTTATATAAAGGACACTCAACCATCATTAATTAATGGATTCAGAGCCTCAGTACTGTACCAGATCCTTAATTTACTGTGAGTCGTTAGTATTCACTTTAAGAGACTGAAAATGTGAAAGTGTGGTTGTTGTCGCCCTCTAAAGGCTGACTGAGGTACTCACGCTTAGTCATGTATTTTTCCTCTGAAGGTATACATTTGACAGAAATGTCAAATTAGAGCGTGATTGTGTGTGGAGCATTAAGTTGTTGACCTTTGCCCCTGACCTCTAACCTCAAACAGGCGGCAGGTAGCCTAGTGGTTAGAGCGTTGGGCCAGTAACCGAAAGGTTTCTGGTTTGAATACATCTGTCGATGTGCCCTTGAGCAAGTCACTTAACCCTAATTTGCTCCAGGGGTGCTGTACTGCTATGGCTGACCCTGTAAAACAACACATTTCTGGTGTATGTGACAATAAAACCTATTTTATTTTTTTACCTCTAACGCCAGTTGGAGAAGATGCTGGAGCCCCAGGTTTGGAGGGAGGCAGCCACCCAGGTGTTCTTCGCCCTGGGGTTAGGGTTCGGAGGGGTCATAGCCTTCTCCAGCTACAACAAGCGGGACAACAACTGCCACTTTGACGCAGCGCTGGTCTCCATCATCAACTTCATCACCTCCATCCTGGCTACGCTGGTGGTGTTCGCCGTGCTGGGGTTCAAGGCCAACATCATGAACGAGAAATGTGTTGTGGAGTGAGTATATTTAGCCTGGTCCCAGATCGGTTTGTGCTGTCTTCTGGTCCCAGATCTGTTTGTGCTGTCTTCTGGAGTAAATCTGCTTTGTAATCCTGATTTAATATTATGTGTCGTTGGAGTAAATCTGCTGTCCACTCAGTCGTTCCTCTTGGCTTACGTTTGAATCATTATGGGACAGTTTATGTCTGTTTTGCAGTGCATACTAATTCAAAAAAGCTTAGGCCAGGATTCAATCCAACGCAGGACTAATGACCTGGGCACAGCAATACACTTTTAGACACAATCTACCAGACATTGGCTGAGATGGTGATCTCTGTAAACACTGCAGTAAATGACAGTGCACAGGTCGTTAATCTGTTTTTGTTTGAATTCGGATCTCACTCTTGTCAACAGATAACTCAACCAAACTCAAATAGTTTAATCAAACTCAAATAGCTTAACCAATCGCATATTGTCATTGTAAAATAGATGAGCTCTTCTTCAGTACTAACCCTACCCTCCTCTCTTCTCTCCTCCTGTCTACAGGAGTGCAGAGAAGATCCTAGGTTACCTGAACTCAGGTGTGTTGAGTCCTGAGCTGATCCCTCCCCACATCAACTTCTCTCACCTGTCAGCTGTGGACTATCAGGAGATGTATGGAGTGATCAAGACTGTCAGGGAGGACAGCTTCGATCAGCTAGGACTGGACCCCTGTGTACTGGAGGACGAACTCAACAAGGTATGTTGGCCTGGACCCCTGTGTACTGGAGGACGAACTCAACAAGGTATGTTGGCCTGGACCCCTGTGTACTGGAGGACGAACTCAACAAGGTATGTTGGCCTGGACCCCTGTATCCTGGAGGACGAACTCAACAAGGTATGTTGGCCTGGACCCCTGTATCCTGGAGGACGAACTCAACAAGGTATGTTGGCCTGGACCCCTGTATCCTGGAGGACGAACTCAACAAGGTATGTTGGCCTGGACCCCTGTATCCTGGAGGACGAACTCAACAAGGTATGTTGGCCTGGACCCCTGTATCCTGGAGGACGAACTCAACAAGGTATGTTGGCCTGGACCCCTGTATCCTGGAGGACGAACTCAACAAGGTATGTTGGCCTGGACCCCTGTATCCTGGAGGACGAACTCAACAAGGTATGTTGGCCTGGACCCCTGTATCCTGGAGGACGAACTCAACAAGGTATGTTGGCCTGGACCCCTGTATCCTGGAGGACGAACTCAACAAGGTATGTTGGCCTGGACCCCTGTATCCTGGAGGACGAACTCAACAAGGTATGTTGGCCTGGACCCCTGTATCCTGGAGGACGAACTCAACAAGGTATGTTGGCCTGGACCCCTGTATCCTGGAGGACGAACTCAACAAGGTATTTTGGCCTGGACCCCTGTATCCTGGAGGACGAACTCAACAAGGTATTTTGGCCTGGACCCCTGTATCCTGGAGGACGAACTCAACAAGGTATGTTGGCCTGGACCCCTGTATCCTGGAGGACGAACTCAACAAGGTATGTTGGCCTGGACCCCTGTATCCTGGAGGACGAACTCAACAAGGTATGTTGGCCTGGACCACTGTATCCTGAGCCTAGCATGAAAGTGCATCCTTGTCGCTGTGTGGACTAATATAGTCAAAATGTTTGCCTTGGGGTAAGTTGATCCAATAGCCATGGGGTAAGTTGATCCAATAGCCTTGGGGTAAGTTGATCCAATAGCCATGGGGTAAGTTGATCCAATAGCCATGGGGTAAGTTGATCCAATAGCCTTGGGGTAAGTTGATCCAATAGCCATGGGGTAAGTTGAGCCAATAGCCATGGGGTAAGTTGATCCAATAGCCATGGGGTAAGTTGATCCAATAGCCATGGGGTAAGTTGAGCCAATACCCATGGGGTAAGTTGATCCAATAGCCATGGGGTAAATTGATCCAATAGCCATGGGGTAAGTTGAGCCAATGGTTGAGCCAATGGCAAGTTGAGCAAATGGAAATGTTTTCTTCCTAGGCGTAATGCAAGGCATTATCTCTGGGATAATATGGTAACAACAGGGCCTGGCCGATGTTAAAAGTGTTTTTTAAAAAGTACACAGTGTTTGTTAGGTGTTAAGCCTGTGTAAAAAATGCTTAAAAAAAAAAAAAGTGATTGTGATTGTGTTGAATTGTGTTTGGTAAATTAAGATAGACGTGGTTTTAAAAAGGTAGTGGTAATATTTCAGGGCTTATCTTACCCCGTCCCGTGGCTCAACATACCCCATACCCGGGGTAAATTGTGACAAGAGACCACTTTTTTGGGGCAAGCTATGTTTTAAAACTGTAATGTTTACATGAATTCTGATTATTTCCAGGGATAAACAACATCCTGATATATATGTAGATATCTTTGTTAGAAAGAATACCCCTTGACGGAGTGATGCTGAATGTAAAAAAATGGCTCAACTTACCCCACTCTCCCCTACATAAAACATCTCTCTTGGTTTTTCTTTCTCTCTCTCTCTCTCTCTCCAGTCAGTACAGGGTACAGGCCTGGCCTTCATTGCCTTCACTGAGGCCATGACCCACTTCCCTGCCTCTCCGTTCTGGTCCGTCATGTTCTTCTTCATGCTGATTAACCTGGGGCTGGGGTCCATGATCGGCACCATGACAGGGATCACCACACCTGTACTGGACGCCTTCCCCAAGATACGCAAGGAATTCCTCTGTGGTGAGGCTTCTGTTGATTGGTTGGTTGGTTGATTGGTCGATAGATTGATTCTTTATCAGTCATTAGTCAAAGGTCTGTTGGCATCAGCCAATGGCTGTTGAAAGACACAACTTGTTGTGTCTTTCTGGACAATGCAACAACAATAAGAAATAATGAAAGATAAGAATAGGAACATAAAGTAAATGTCTCAGTAGAACAGAATAAACATGTGTGATAAGATTCAGAGAGTCAGTGCAGGTGGTCAGTCCAGTTAAAGTGTTCAGCAGTCTGATGGCTTGTAGATAGAAACTGTCTCTGGCAGTGGAGGCTGCTGAGGGGAGGACGGCTCATAATAATGACTGGAATGGAGCGAATGGAATGGCATCGAACCATGTGTTTGATGTGTTTGATTCCATTCCACCTATTCAGTCGTTACCACGAGCCTGTCTCCCCCAACAACATCCTGTGGTCTCTGGATGGGTGGAAGCACGGTCCCAGTGATGGAGCGCCTTTCGGTCGTGGACGGAGCAATTCCCGTACCAGGCCGTGTTGCAACCGGTCAGGACGCTCTCGATGGTGCAGCGGTGGTATTGGGGAGGACCTGGGGCGGCAATGACGAATTTCTTCAGCCTCTTTAGGAAGTAGAGACGCTGTTGTGCCCTCTTGACAAGAGTGGTGGTGTTGGTCCATGTCAAGTCCTCGGTGATGTGGACGCCAAGGAACTTAAAACTGCTGACTCTCTCTACTGCAGTCCCATTGATGTGGATAGGGGCATGTTCCCTCCTCTACTTCCTGAAGTCAACAATCAACTCCTTTGTTCTGCTGACATTGAGGGACAGGTTGTTGTCCTGGCACCACAATGCCAGTTCACTTACCTCCTCCCTATAGGCTGACTCGTCATTGTTGATGATCAGGCCTACAACCGTGGTGTCGTCAGCAAACTTGATGATGCAGTTGGTGTCGTGCAAAGCAACACAGACGTGGGTGAACAGGGAATACAGCAAAGGGCTGAGGACACACCCCTGGAGGGCCCCTGTTTTAAGAGCCAGTGTGGAGGAGGTTTTGTTGCCAATCCTCACAGCCTGTAGTCTGCCCATCAGGAAATCCAGGATCCAGTTCCAGAGGGTGGTGTCCAGACCCAGGGGCTCTGAGCTTAGTATCGAGCTTGGAGGGAACAATAGTGTTGAATGCTGAACTGTAGTCAAATGAACAGCATTCTCAAATAGGTGTTCCTCTTGTTTAAATGTGTTAGGGCTGTCTGAATAGCCATGATGGATCTGATGAAACGTGGATCTTCCTCTCTCAGTGGGCCTTCTTTTTGTGTTCTGTATGTATGATTATTAATGTTTCCTCATCCTCCTCCTCCTGTCCTCTTCTCAGTTGGTTGTTGCATTGTGGCGTTCTTCTGCGGCCTGCTGTTCGTCCAGCGCTCCGGGAACTACTTTGTGACCATGTTTGATGACTACTCCGCCGGCCTGCCTCTCACTGTGGTGGTCATACTGGAGAATATATCTGTGGCCTGGATCTACGGCACCAAGAGGTACTGGTTACATAACGTGACACGGGCCACTTAAATATTACTTTACAGCAGTGCCACAGAGAAATGGCTTTGTAGATTTGTATCATGGTGAATGTGCTCAGAACTCATGTGTAATCTCTCTCTCTCTCTCTCTCTCGCTCTCTCTCCTCTCTCTCTCTCTCTCTCTCTCTCTCTCTCTTCTTCATCCTCTCTCTCTCTGCTCTCCCTCCGTCTCTCGCTCTCTCTCTCTCTCTCCTCTCCTCTCTCTCTCTCTCTCTCTTCGTCTCTCTCTAGCTCTCTCTCTCTCTCTCTCTCTCTCTCTCTCTCTCTCTCTCTCCTCTCTCTCTCATGTTCATGCAGGACCTAGAGGACATGTTGGGTTTCAGACCCTACTCTTTCTATTTCTATATGTGGAAGTACGTGTCTCCTGCCTGTCTCACCGTGCTCATCGTGGCCACTGTGATAGAGATGGCCGTCAGTCCAGCAGGGTACAACGCCTGGGTAGAGGAACTGGTCAGTGAATCATCTCTCTCATGGTAGCTTCTCTGTCTCGCTCTCTTTTTCTCTCTCTTTCTCACTCCTTCGATCTGCTTTGTATTCAGATGTGCATTTGCTTGCCCCATTTGCTTGCCCTCATGCTACCACTAGAGTGAAAGCACCGCCAGCATTCAAAAGTGACCAAAACATCAGCCAGGAAGCATAGGAACTGAGAAGTGGTCTGTGGTCACCACCTGCAAAACCAGTCCTTTATTGGGGGTGTCTTGCTAATTGCCTATAATTTCCACCTGTTGTCTATTCCATTTGCACAACAGCATGTGACATTTATTGTCAATCAGTGTTGCTTCCTAAGTGGACAGTTTGATTTCACAGAAGTGTGATTGACTTGGAGTTACATTGTGTTGTTTAAGTGTTCCCTTAATTTTTTTGAGCAGTGTATGTTTTAATTATTTAATAAATTCACTCACTCTCTCCTCTCTCCTCCCTCTTCTTCCTCCTCCCTCTCCTCTCTCCTTCCTCTCGTCTTCCCCCTCCGCTAGGCGTCGGAGAAGTTCCTCTCCTACCCTCCGTGGGCTCTGGGCGTGGCCTACTCCCTCATCATCGCCGCCATGCTTCCTCTCCCCTGTGTCTTCATCGCCCGCCACTTCAACCTGCTCTCTGACGGCTCCAACAAGCTGTCCGTCTCCTACCGTAAAGGCATGACCAAGGACCTCTCTGGCCTGGAGGAGGAGAACGAGTCCCGCTTCATCCTCAGTAAAGGCACCCCCAGCCCCAACCCTTCGCCCATGCCCTCTCACCGCCCCTACCTGGGGCCCGGCGGAGCCCAGGAGATGACCAACACGGCTGGATATGGTACCGGGACACCGACCAAGACGGGTTATCAGAATATTAATTCACCAGAGTCCGTACTATGATCGATCTGACTGATTGAAGCACAAGACACCCTATCTATCAAACACAACTCAGCACAACCCCTCCAGAGAGAGAGAAAGAGAGAAAGAGCACTGCCGGGGGATGTTTTAGCACAACCTAACCCCTTCCACTCCATTCCTCCACTCCCCCCCTCTACTGTTCACCTAGATGTAAAGCACAGCCCCCCCTCTCTCTACTGTTCACCTAGCTGTAAAGCACAGCCCCCTCTCTCTACTGTTCACCTAGCTGTAAAGCACAGCCCCCCCCCTCTACTGTTCACTTTGCTGTTTATTATTATTATTATTATTATTATTATATATTATTACTGTAAAGCACAGCCCCCTCTTCTCTACTGTTCACCTAGCTGTAAAGCACAGCCCCCCCCCTACTGTTCACCTAGCTGTAAAGCACAGCCCCCCCCCCCCCCTACTGTTCACCTAGATGTGAAGCACAGGCCCCCCCCCCTACTGTTCACCTAGCTGTAAAGCACATCCCCCCCCTCTCTCTACTGTTCACCTAGCTGTAAAGCACAGCCCCCCCCCCTACTGTTCACCTAGCTGTAAAGCACAGCCCCCCCCCCCCCCCTACTGTTCACCTAGCTGTAAAGCACAGCCCCCCCCCCCCTACTGTTCACCTAGCTGTAAAGCACAGCCCCCCCCCCTACTGTTCACCTAGCTGTAAAGCACAGCCCCCCCCCCCCTACTGTTCACCTAGCTGTAAAGCACAGCCCCCCCCCCCCCCCTACTGTTCACCTAGCTGTAAAGCACAGCCCCCCCCCCTACTGTTCACCTAGCTGTAAAGCACAGCCCCCCCCCCCCCACTGTTCACCTAGCTGTAAAGCACAGCCCCCCCCCTCTACTGTTCACCTAGCTGTAAAGCACAGCCCCCCCCCCTACTGTTCACCTAGCTGTAAAGCACAGCCCCCCCCCCCCCCCCCCTACTGTTCACCTAGCTGTAAAGCACAGCCCCCCCCCCTACTGTTCACCTAGCTGTAAAGCACAGCCCCCCCCCCCTACTGTTCACCTAGCTGTAAAGCACAGCCCCCCCCCCCCCCTACTGTGTCACCTAGCTGTAAAGCACAGCCCCCCCCCTACTGTTCACCTAGCTGTAAAGCACAGCCCCCCCCCCCCCCCTGTTCACCTAGCTGTAAAGCACAGCCCCCCCCCCCCCACTGTTCACCTAGCTGTAAAGCACAGCCCCCCCCCTACTGTTCACCTAGCTGTAAGCACAGCCCCCCCCCCCCCCTACTGTTCACCTAGCTGTAAAGCACAGCCCCCCCCCCTACTGTTCACCTAGCTGTAAGCACAGCCCCCCCCCCCTACTGTTCACCTAGCTGTAAAGCACAGCCCCCCCCTACTGTTCACCTAGCTGTAAAGCACAGCCCCCCCCCTACTGTTCACCTAGCGTAAAGCACAGCCCCCCCCCCCCTACTGTTCACCTAGCTGTAAAGCACAGCCCCCCCCCCCCCCCCCCCCCCCTACTGTTCACCTAGCTGTAAAGCACAGCCCCCCCCCCTACTGTTCACCTAGCTGTAAAGCACAGCCCCCCCCTACTGTTCACCTAGCTGTAAAGCACAGCCCCCCCCTACTGTTCACCTAGCTGTAAAGCACAGCCCCCCCCCTACTGTTCACCTAGCTGTAAAGCACAGCCCCCTCTTCTCTACTGTTCACCTAGTTGTAAAGCACAGCCCCCCCCCCCTCTACTGTTCACCTAGCTGTAAAGCACAGCCCCCCCCCTCTACTGTTCACCTAGCTGTAAAGCACAGCCCCCCCTCTCTCTACTGTTCACCTAGCTGTAAAGCACAGCCCCCCCTCTCTCTACTGTTCACCTAGATGTAAAGCACAGCCCCCCCCCTCTACTGTTCACCTAGCTGTAAAGCACAGCCCCCCCCCCCCCTACTGTTCACCTAGCTGTAAAGCACAGATCCCCCCATATCTAAGCCTTAACACAAAACAGTAGTTTCATTCTAATCTACAGTGACCTTCCCCACGTCGCCCCTAAACCCCACATCGCCCCTAAACCCCACGTCGCCCCTAAACCCCACGTCGCCCCTAAACCCCACGTCGCCCCTAAACACCACGTCACCCCTAAACCCCACGTCGCCCCTAAACCCCACGTCGCCCCTGAACCCCACGTCGCCCCTAAACCCCACATCGCCCCTAAACCCCACATCGCCCCTAAACCCCACATCGCCCCTGAACCCCACGTCGCCCCTAAACCCCACATCGCCCCTAAACCCCACATCGCCCCTAAACCCCACATCGCCCCTAAACCCCACGTCGCCCCTAAACCCCACGTCGCCCCTAAACCCCACGTCGCCCCTAAACCCCACATCGCCCCTGAACCCCACGTCGCCCCTGAACCCCACGTCGCCCCTAAACCCCACGTCGCCCCTAAACCCCACACGTCGCCCCTAAACCCCACGTCGCCCCTAAACCCCACGTCGCCCCTAAACCCCACGTCGCCCCTGAACCAAACAAAACATTTCCCCCTAAGAAACCAAGCAGAGCAGAGCCAGTACGGATGTTGATGGCAGTCTTCATTTATCATACATCAGATGAAGAATGAGGCCCCCATTTTTAATTTGGTCTTAGAAGGCAGTATGATTCATCTGAGCACAGATAAGCCAAGCAGCTAGCATTTGATCATCAGGCAGCGTGTGTGTCGTAGTGTGTGTGTACTCCCCAGCCAGCCCAGGTGACCCCAGTATTAGAAATAGAACTGTGTACCCAGGGGAAGCGTGTCCGAGACATTTGCAACCCGCCTTGGCAACGCACCGCCCTGGAGACGAATCCTCCTGTGAGGTCGTGGAGGAAGCCACACACAGGACAGCAGGTCGTTGCGCTTCGTCAACCAGCTGTTACCAAGCCGGGTTGTGTTCATTAGTGAGAAAACGTTTTGGAGCAGAGTGAAACCAGCTGTTACCAAGCCGGGTTGTGTTCATTAGTGAGAAAACGTTTTGGAGCAGAGTGAAACCAGCTGTTACCAAGCCGGGTTGTGTTCATTAGGGAGAAAATGTTTTGCGGCAGAGTAAAACAGGGAAGTGTTACCTAAAAATAAGAGCACAGATTGTCATTTTCCGTTGCAAAACGTTTTGCTATGGTATGCCCTACTGAACACTACCCAGGTGTACCGCCAAGCCATTATATGGGGATTGCTGTTGACCGTTGTTCCAAAATGGATCAATGGGAACTGTAGGGTTAATTAATATTGTACATTCCTCTAATCATCTTCTTCGATAAGCACTCTGATCAATTGATGGCACTAATAATACATTTATTTCTGTGAATTGTCAAGTTTGAAAAAATATATGTTTTATTTTCATGGCTGAAATATTTGTATGATAGTGTGTAATTTGTCTAAATAACTATTATGTGGATATAATGTAGTGTATATTGTAGTGTACAAAATGAAACTCGTTTTTTTGTTGTTGCAATAGCAGACTTGAACCACAGTGTGGCAGTGTTGGCCACCAGAGGAGTACCTGACAGTACCTTTGTGTCTCCTGCCCCTCCCTGAAGACAGTGATGACACACACAGATCACACTGTGGCTCTTCTAAAAATCCATCCTCTCCTTGCCTACTCTCCTTACCACCACTACTTAATTGCTCTGATCTGAAAGAACTGACTAGGGGCTGGATTCAATCCATATCTCCAAAGTAGCCGGAAGATTCACTTTATAGCTTGATTGAAATTTAAAGGCAATGTTCCCGCATTCATGGAGACTGCATTCATGGTAAGCGCATGCATGTTGGTCAATTGGAAATTACCCTAAAATCTTAACGCAGATCTGCGGCGATACTTCCGCGATACAGATTGAATCCAGACCTCGGTGAAAGTACTTTCTAAACAGTGCAGATGAAGGGGAGAAAATCATGAGAGAACAGATTTGTGAGCGAATGAGATCGAGCAAACCTGTTGCTGGCAGCCAACCCAGACATGGTTTATAATGTTGAGACAGGCTTTGGCCAACCTGTTGCCGTTGCCTGAACAGCATCTCTGTGTCTGTCTGTTAGCCTTTTGTTAAAGTGGTCTTTGTGGAGACATTATGTAGAGTTGTTATGTAGACTGTAGTTCCAGCCATGTGAGCACTGTACAGCAGGCAGAGACCCTGGAGTTGAACATCAAGCACTGATCAAACAGAAAACCAGCAACAGAGCATGGCTTGTCTGTCTCTGAAGCAGTGGTCACAACAGGACTTTCACAAAATGCGTTTTCTATTTATTTTAATTTTTATTAGATGTGAATTAGGGTGGCAAAAATTCTGGTAACTTTAACAAAGTTCCCATGTTTTCCAGAGGATTCCGATTTTCCCTGGTTTTTCTCACTTCATTCCGGGAATCTTTCAACCAGTATTTCGGGAAAACCTGGGAATTTTGGGAAAGTTACCGAAAATGTTGCGACCCTAGAAGTGATAGATCTCTAATGGTGGCAGCCAATACACAATACACAGCACAGGATCTAAAGTGCACAAACACAGAAGGCCTCTAGATTTCAGCAGCGCAGCAGTAAAGCAAACATCTGAAGCACAAAGGACCTGAGAAAACAGAATAGATTATTGCATTGTTTTCCAGCAAATAGAGCGCAGCACTTACTCATAGCATTGTATTGGCTTGTGGATCACAGCCAAAGGTTGCTAGAGACTAAATGGTAATGTTGGAAGACGAGCACGCACATCACTTAGCTACATTCCCATATTGGCTACAGTCCGTGTATGGGCCAATGTGTACGGCAGGAACTCACAGGCTGTATCACAAATGGAATCCTATTCCCTATACAGTGCATTTGGAATGCAAACACAGGAAACCTAACTCTTGCTCCCTTTTAAAAAGCCACGTTACGGATTGTATAGCACGTAAACAGACTAAAATGGTTAATGAATTAATCATGCTAAATGGTCATAGAGGAAATTATTACCAATTAGAGAGCTAGAATCACTTGAACTATTATTGATGGAGGGAGGCCAGGGAGGGAGGGAGGAAAGAGAGAGAGGGATAGAAAGAAGTAGAGAGAGAGAGAGAGCAAGAGAGATTGAGAGAGAGAGAGAGAGAGAGATGAGAGAGAATGACCCGGAGCAAAGGAGGTAGAGAGAGAGAGAGAGAGAGAGAGAGATGAGAGGAAGAGAGAGAGGAAGAGAGAGAGGAAGAGCGGAATAGTCTAAAAAGGATTCTAAAAACATGTAGACCTACAAACTGCACAAAAAGTGGAGAGACACAATAATGTGTATATTGCACATTGCCTTTAATAATTAATTTGCCAAAAAGGGTGTTAAATTCCCTAAATCCCTTATTGAGGTAATGCACTGTCAACTCCAGGGCCTGTATGTATTATCACTGTCTCGTTACTACATTAGTACAATACATTAATCCTGTGTAGACTAACTCAATTTCTCTCAAATTACAGTGAGTGTATTTATCTAACAGTGATAACATGCTTTATTCTGTGAAAGATCAATATCTAAACTACAGTACTTTTAAAGGGAAAGTTTAGGATTCTACAACTTGATGTTAGATGATTTCCTCACCCTGAAAGTCGTCTATATGCCCCCATTCACTTCCATTGATTGTTAGCTAGTGGTGGCTAAAGGTAGCTAAAGGTTGTAGTGGCAGTTTAAAGAAAACCGACCCGTGGGTTACAGTTTCTCCTGGCCAGAGACTACTTTCAGGGTGAGGAACCATTTATCATCAAGTTGTAAAATCACAAACTTCCCATTTATTCTGTATACTTACTTCTATACCTCTGTAGATGTTGATGTACATTCTGTCAAATTCACAATGAATATATATATATATCTATCTATACAGTAGGAGTGACAGGGTGAATACTTGAGCTGTATATAATAATTGTATATTTTTAGATATTTTTGTACGTAATGTACCCTTATTGTGTCTGTAGATTTATGATGTAAAGATATTATTAGTGTGAGATTGTTGTTCTCCATCAAAATAACTGGAGAGACTGTACTTTGATGTGTGTGTCTGTGTGCTTGTGTGTGAGTATGCGGTGTGTGTGTGTGGTGTGAGTGTCTGTTTCTGTGTACATGTAGATGTCGTTGCTATAACTGGTTGTGTGTTTCTTGATTTCCACCTTCAGTGATTACAATCAAGTAGATATGACTCAGTTGTAATGACTTGAGACCACTGACTTCTTCAAGCAATCTATTAGTGTCCTGTGCGTCTTCAGCTGCTCTCTGACTCGACAGAAATGACAACTTGAACGTGGTCAAAAATAGTGTGTGGCAATTCATGAGCATTAGTACTGTAACAATCTATATTTTTGTCTTAGACAAAATGAAATAAAAGTTACCACTTTTGTGAACCACGTTATACAGTGTATTTTATTTTACAAATAGATATTTAATTTGAATGTGAGTCTTACCCTGTATGTTCAACGCTTCAGGAAAAGTGTTGTAGAAATCACATTTCTGTTTATCTTTTCAGCCGAGAGACTTGGAGTCCAACACTGTATCTGTCTGTCAACAAGCAGCTTGGAGTCTAACACTGTATCTGTCTGTCAACAAGCAGCTTGGAGTGTAACACTGTATCTGTCTGTCAACAAACAGCTTGGAGTCTAACACTGTATATGTCTGTCAACAAGCAGCTTGGAGTCTAACACTGTATCTGTCTGTCAACAAGCAGCTTGGAGTCAAACACTGTATCTGTCTGTCAACAAGCAGCTTGGAGTCTAACACTGTATCTGTCTGTCAACAAGCAGCTTGGAGTCTAACACTGTATATGTCTGTCAACAAGCAGCTTGGAGTCTAACACTGTATCTGTCTGTCAACAAGCAGCTTGGAGTCTAACACTGTATCTGTCTGTCAACAAGCAGCTTGGAGTCTAACACTGTATCTGTCTGTCAACAAGCAGCTTGGAGTCTAACACTGTATCTGTCTGTCAACAAGCAGCTTGGAGTCTAACACTGTATCTGTCTGTCAACAAGCAGCTTGGAGTCTAACACTGGATCTGTCTGTCAACAATCAGCTTGGAGTCTAACACTGGATATGTCTGTCAACAAGCAGCTTGGAGTCTAACACTGGATCTGTCTGTCAACAAGCAGCTTGGAGTCTAACACTGTATCTGTCTGTCAACAAGCAGCTTGGAGTCTAACACTGTATCTGTCTGTCAACAAGCAGCTTGGAGTCTAACACTGGATCTGTCTGTCAACAATCAGCTTGGAGTCTAACACTGTATCTGTCTGTCAACAAGCAGCTTGGAGTCTAACACTGTATCAGTCTGTCAACAAGCAGCTTGGAGTCTAACACTGTATCTGTCTGTCAACAAGCAGCTTGGAGTCTAACACTGTATCTGTCTGTCAACAAGCAGCTTGGAGTCTAACACTGTATATGTCTGTCAACAAGCAGCTTGGAGTCTAACACTGTATCTGTCTGTCAACAAGCAGCTTGGAGTCTAACACTGTATCTGTCTGTCAACAAGCAGCTTGGAGTCTAACACTGTATCTGTCTGTCAACAAGCAGCTTGGAGTCTAACACTGTATCTGTCTGTCAACAAGCAGCTTGGAGTCTAACACTGTATCAGTCTGTCAACAAGCAGCTTGGAGTCTAACACTGTATCTGTCTGTCAACAAGCAGCTTGGAGTCTAACACTGTATCTGTCTGTCAACAAGCAGCTTGGAGTCTAACACTGTATATGTCTGTCAACAAGCAGCTTGGAGTCTAACACTGTATCTGTCTGTCAACAAGCAGCTTGGAGTCTAACACTGTATCTGTCTGTCAACAAGCAGCTTGGAGTCTAACACTGTATCTGTCTGTCAACAAGCAGCTTGGAGTCTAACACTGTATCTGTCTGTCAACAAGCAGCTTGGAGTCTAACACTGTATCTGTCTGTCAACAAGCAGCTTGGAGTCTAACACTGGATCTGTCTGTCAACAATCAGCTTGGAGTCTAACACTGGATATGTCTGTCAACAAGCAGCTTGGAGTCTAACACTGGATCTGTCTGTCAACAAGCAGCTTGGAGTCTAACACTGTATCTGTCTGTCAACAAGCAGCTTGGAGTCTAACACTGTATCTGTCTGTCAACAAGCAGCTTGGAGTCTAACACTGGATCTGTCTGTCAACAATCAGCTTGGAGTCTAACACTGTATCTGTCTGTCAACAAGCAGCTTGGAGTCTAACACTGTATCAGTCTGTCAACAAGCAGCTTGGAGTCTAACACTGTATCTGTCTGTCAACAAGCAGCTTGGAGTCTAACACTGTATCTGTCTGTCAACAAGCAGCTTGGAGTCTAACACTGTATCTGTCTGTCAACAAGCAGCTTGGAGTCTAACACTGTATCAGTCTGTCAACATGCAGCTTGGAGTCTAACACTGTATCAGTCTGTCAACAAGCAGCTTGGAGTCTAACACTGTATCTGTCTGTCAACAAGCAGCTTGGAGTCTAACACTGTATCTGTCTGTCAACAAGCAGCTTGGAGTCTAACACTGTATATGTCTGTCAACAAGCAGCTTGGAGTCTAACACTGTATCAGTCTGTCAACAAGCAGCTTGGAGTCTAACACTGTATCTGTCTGTCAACAAGCAGCTTGAAGTCTAACACTGTATCTGTCTGTCAACAACCAGCTTGGAGTCTAACACTGTATCAGTCTGTCAACAAGCAATATTTAGCAGAAGCTGAATCCACAGTAGCTTGTTGGGGTCTTCTATTCCCTTGCCGAGGCTTCAGTAGAGAGAGATGTTCCCTTTGGATATTGACTGCTTGTCTCGTGATGTCAAAGATGCCTGGATTCCTGGAAGTGGAACAACAGCCGCAGTGATGCTTGGATTTAAAAAAATATAGTCCTAAAAATCCTCTCACCGTCTGAAACAGAAGACAAAGGACAGTGAGACACAGGTTTTATCTTGGACACATGAAACGTAGGATGGAGGGTGCGGGGCAACAGAAGATGAACAGCAGAGGGGCTAAGGACTTCAGAGATGGAGAAAGGGCAGATAAACCGGGGGGAAAGTTTACGGGACTCCACCCGGAGGGGCAGGTCCCGAGTGGAAAGCCATACCCTCTGCCCAAGCCGAAAGCGGGGAGCAGCGGTCCGGTGGCGATCCGCTTGTCGCCGATACCTGGATGTGGTCTTCAAAAGAGCGGCCCGGGCTCTCTTCCAGGTACGGCGACAGCGGCGGATGAACATCTGGGCAGAGGGTATATGCTGACTTCTTCCTCTTGCTCAGGGAAGAGCGGGGGCTGATATCCCAAGGAACACTCGAAGGGCGAGAGGCCAGTGGCCGAGCAGGGAAGGGTGTTACGGGCGTATTCCACCCACACGAGTTGCTGGCTCCAGGTGGTGGGGTTGGCGGAGACGAGGCAACGAAGGGCCGTCTCCAGGTCCTGATTGGCTCGCTCCGACTGCCCGTTATATTGGGGGTGGAAACCAGAGGAAACCCAGAGGACAGGCTGGCCGACGACCCAATGAGGGTGCAGAATGCCTTCCAGAACCGGGACGAGAACTGGGGACCACGATCGGAGACCATGTCGACCGGAATCCATGAATCCGGAAGACGTGCTGCACCATGAGCTGAGCCGTCTCCTTGGCTGAGGGTAACTTGGAAAGGGGAATAAAATGGGCGGCTTTAGAAAACCTGTCCACCACCGTCAGGATAGTAGTGTTGCCGTCTGACGGGGGAAGCCCAGTAACAAAGTCCAGGGATATATGGGACCAGGGGTGGTGAGGAACAAGGAGTGGTTGAAGAAGTCCAGTCGGAGCTTGCCGCAGAGTCTTATTTTGTGCACACACACCGTGCAGGCGGCGACGAATGCGGAGGCATCTGGCACCATGGAAAGGCCACCAAAGTGTAGTCGGACGAAAGCCAGGGTCCTACGGGAGCCTGGATCAAATCAAATCAAATTTTATTGGCCACATGCGCCGAATACAACAGGTGCAGACATTACAGTGAAACTCTTACTTACAGCCCTTCACCAACAGTGCAACCAACAGTGCAGGGTACCGGTGCAGAGTCAATGTGCGGGGGCACCGGCTAGTTGAGGTAGTTGAAGTAATATGTACATGTGGGTAGAGAGGATGGCAGGTCAGTCTTGAGGAATGTGCCTATTCCAGGACCGGGGAACGGGCAGAGTCCAGGACAAAAATCCGGTTAGCCGGACAGTTGCTAGAGACCACGTGAAGGGAACCTTGGGAGAGGTTAGTGCTGAGAGGGGGGAAGCCAGGATGCTGTAACCCCAGATGAAGCGGAGGTAGAAATGAACAAACCCCAGGAAACGTTGCAGCTGCACTCTGGATGTGGGTTGAGGCCAATCCACCACTGCTCTCACCTTTGTCTGGATCCATCTGTATATGTCCTTCAGCGATGACGTATCCTAGGAAGGAGATGGTGGAGCGATGGAATTCACACTTCTCCGCTGTAACGAAAAGCTGGTTATTCAGGAGATGCTGAAGGACTTGTCGGACGTGTTCTTGAGCTGAACGGGAAAACACAAGGATGTCGTCGAGGTAGACAAACACGAACCGGCTCAGCATGTGCCGGAGCACATCGTTGACCAGGGCCTGGAACACAGCGGGAGCGTTGGTTAGTCCGAATGGCATCACCAGGTACTCATAGTGCCCGCTAGCCGTGTTAAAGGCTGTCTTCCACTCATCTCCTTCCCGTATCAGAACCAGATGGTAGGCGTTCCGAAGGTCCAACTTAGATGGTTGCTCCCTGAAGAGGTTCTAAAGCGGAGGAGATGAGTGGTAGAGGGTAAAGTTTTTTAACCGTGATGTCATTAAGGCCCCTGTAGTCGATACACGGGCGCAGGGTTTTGTCCTTCTTCTCCACAAAGAAGAACCCTGCGCCGGCGGGAGAGGCCAATGGACCCTGCAGCGGGAGAGTTATCAATGTACTCCATAGCCTTGGTCTCCAGACCCGACAGGGAGTAAAGCCGCCTCCGGGGGGGTGTAGTTCCCGGGAGAAGGTCAATGGCGCAGTCGTAGGGTCGATGCGGAGGGAGAGACGTAGCGCGGGCCTTGTTGAAGACCTCCCGAAGGTCCAGGTACTCCGCGGGAATGGCGAAGAGATCCGAGGCTTCTCTTAAGCCTGCAGTAAGACGGCCCGGGGCAGGCTGGGCCGACTTAAGACAATGAGCATGGCAGAACAGGCTCCAACCCACGATTGAACCAGTAGCTCAGTGACTCTGCTAATAGAGCGCCCATCCAGCGTTCTGATGTCCAAGGTAGCATTGATAAAGCTCTCATCGGCCCCAGAGTCAATGAGCACCCAGAGTGATTTTGCCTGGTCACCCTACAACAGGGTGGCATGGAGAGGGGTGCAAGTAATGGGAGATTGGAAAATCACCGTACGGCTCACCAGACATCGGATTCTCTCGGAAATTACTTCGGGGGTTTCCGGGATTCCTTGGAGGCGAGGTGGGAATCGAGGACGAGCGAGGGCGACAGGGAACAGATTCCTTCTACCTCCCACATTCTCGTAGCCGCCCATCGATCCGGATGGTCAAGTCTATGAGGGAGTCGAGGTCCATGGGCAGCTCCCAGGCTG